TATCGGCAGGTTTATAACAAATCGCAGTATCCTTCGTCGGAATTTATGATTCCGTTCGGCAAAGCGAAAAAAGTTCGCGAGGGAAGCGATGTTACTATCGTGACGTTCGGCGCGTTGGTCGAACGCTCGAATCAAGCCGCAAAACGGCTCGAACAACAGGGCATTACGGTCGATCTGATCGACCTGCGCACGCTCGTTCCTTACGATTGGGAAGCGATCGCCGAATCGGTTAAGAAAACGAACCGCGTCATCGTAGCGCACGAAGACCCGCTTTCATTCGGCTACGGCGCAGAGCTTGCGGCGCGCATTTCCGACGAGCTTTTTGAATATCTGGATGCACCCGTCAGACGCGTCGGCGCGACCGATACTTTCGTCGCATATGCACCGCAGGTCGAAGACTTTATTTTGCCGCAATCGGAAGATGTCGAAAAAGCCGTCAAAGACTTGATGAAATATTGATGAAAAAATGAAAAAGGTGTATTATCGCCTTGCCTTTGGGTATTTATCGCCTCCGGCGGTGCTGGCGATAATTCTTCCCGTACTTTTCTAAAAGCACCATTGCTATTTGACAGGAGAATCCGATATGAAAAAACTTTTTGCAACGTTGATGTTGCTCGTGTGCGTGTCTGCCGTATTTGCAAGCAAAGCGGGCGATTCGGCAATTAATAATCCGAAACAACAAGCGCTTTGCCACAATGAAGCAGGCAAATGGAATCCGCAAGATAAAAATTGCGACCCGACAGCTTGCGGTTGTTTATTTCATCAGATCGAAGATTTTATTCTTGGAATCTTTGAGTAGTTTGAATCGGAATCTTGTGTAGCTTGCAGTAAAGGACTTCCCGATAGAAAATTAAAGCCCGAAACAGTTTATCGTTTCGGGCTTTTTTTCCACTTTAAACTATTTGAAGGAAGCCGCTTCCCGACGGCTTCCTTCCTTTATGTAGCTTAAAGATTTTAGTTTTTGTAAATGTTTAGGTTAATAGCTTTATGCGGTTTTCAGACTGTCCGAGATACGCCAGAGATACAAACAAAGAAAAAGTGAAAGCAGATGAGCCAGAAAAACGATTGAAACGCAGTTCGTTTTTTGCTAAACTGCTTTCACTTGATAACGGTTAAATATTAAGTTTTCAAAGATCGAAGCCTTTTGAGTTTGCCAGAACTCCGAAGGCTTTTTGAATTTTCATCTTGTGGTTACTTTCCAATTTTCGCGCCCGTTGTCGAAATCAATAAATTTTATTCCTTTCGTATTCAGGACAGGCGGTAAAATTACTCTTTCTTTGAACGCTTGAACGTCCTTAAAGGTGATTGCCGAATTTTTGACCTTTAGCGTATTGCCCGAAAGCGACAGATCGGATAAACCGCCGTCAAATCTGAAAACATCGCTTTGCTCTAATTCTCTTAAAATCTGCTTTTCTTCGGCTTCTTGTTTCTTTTCGGCTTCGGTAGTTTGAAAGCCTGTATCGTAACTATTCCCGCGAGTATTGCAACCCAAACCGACCGCCAGAAGAAAACACCCGACACACAGCAACGAAATAATATTTTTCATAATGCCGCGAATTTTACCACGAAGCCGCGACGGATTGAAACTTAATCCCAAGAAT